GCTCTTCCTGCTGCATCTTTAAAAACTCGTGCTCCTAGTTTTGGCCCCCTGAGCTGTGCCCAAATTAGCAACTGAGATCAGATTATGTGAATGTGAATTACGACCATGCTTTCTTAAAATCTAGTCTATTATAGTACCTGGCCTACCCACGTTTAAAACTATTTCAGAACAGTTAATATTTTAACAGCCAAGGAATGGAGACACTTGTCAAAGGAAATTTATTTTGCATTCTATAAATGTTTATTTTCAAATATTTCAAATGTAAAACTGGAATTTCTACATTCACTCCAAGAGCAGAAATTATTACAGATTAGAACTGAAAAAGCTAAAGTGTCACAAGGTCTGCACTATATTCCCAACTCTCTTTGCAAAACTGAGCAAATTACATATGCACTTTACTTTTTCTATCTCTATGTAACAGAACAAATGTCAAGATTATTCATTCTCTCAAAACGGCCTGGAGAACTGCACGCCCGAGGAGCTCTAAATTCAGATTTGAGTAGCAATTTATTCTAACAGCAAGTTTAATACATCTTCACAATTTTGAAGAAGCAGTAAACAGGCATATTCCCACTATGTAAAGTTACACATCTCAAATAGGTGGACATACCTTAGAAATACAGGCACAATGTCTTATCACCAGAGCCTTTATCATCAGTGGTCAATTCAAAGCATTTCTTAGCTTTGCATCACCTCACAGCAGCACTGCTGCCTACAGAAAGGCTCGTGATTTCTGCACTCAGGCAAAATACTTCAACACAGCGCCTGGGAATTCCACCTGATATGACAGCAAGCATCATGTTGACTAGAGCACAGACAGAAGTTTCCACAACTCTTCCTTACTGGCTAATCCAGAAATCTAACTATGGCATTATACTTCATACATCCAAAAAAATCCTGCCTTTAAGTAGGAGAAAACTTCCTGATCTTAAATTTATTTGAAGGCCAAGTTGTGCTCAGCTTAGCTTCCACAAAACATCATTTAAAAGCTCCGGTTCGTTCCAACTGGTGTCACCTAAACCTTGGTGTTTTTTTCAATGAACTGTGAGGGATTTTTTCCCCCCCCCCTACAACTGAAGATTTTCAGGCTCAATAATCCTAATTAATATTTTGCCTTCTTTCCAAAGAGATTTTGTAAGCAAACATGAAAAGGGTAACTCAACCTAATCTCCAAATAAAACTGCACATTCCCCCTCCCGAACTGCTGAGGGGGCTGGGAAAAGCAGAAGGGACAGCTTGGGGAGGAAGAGCGATAAACAATCTGATCTACACAGTCATTTATTTTCAAGTAAACACTATGCCTGCTTGGTGTACAGGAGACTTTTGAAGAATTACTCTACAGTCTGATAAGTCCAACTTCAAACTACAATCAATGTAGAAAGAGAGCACATCGTGAACTAAAATCTTTGTGTTCCACAGCAGTTTAACTCATGACTGTGCACTTTCATAGTTTACTGATAAATATGTATTTTATGGAACCAAAGGGTCCATACATCAAGATAATAATAAGTTAAGCATGTGACAGTTTCTAAAAAATTTCAAACAGATGCTTTTCCAATTCACTGTAAAGCATCTAGCCAGATAACTCTCGCTGTACTTCATAAACAAACAGATTAGAGGGCACAACGCTGTTCCTATTAATGTTACTGGCAAAATTCCCAATGTCTGCCAAGACAGAAGGATCAGATCCAAGGTCTTGCATGCCAAGCTGACAAACAGTAGACAAGTCAGTAAATATTTGCATATTTTAATCAGACATTAACATCTCTTGTAAAGATTTATGCTAAAGCAATGATGTTCAACTTGCAGTCCTACAGGGAGACCGGTAGGAATTTACTGCCAATTGAATACACTTCAAGAGCCACATCCTGGGATTCACAAACTGAAGCAAATGAATGAGCCCCATTGCCATGGGGAACATGCAGGGGAAGAGCCTCTCCAGCTGCCTCCCATTACAATCCATAACCCTTCAAACAGTCCTGCTGTCAGAAATAAGCACCCAAATATTTCTTGCCAAAGCTATCCAGACGAGTCCTCCTGTTAACAGCCCACTGTAGTGCAGGAAAGGAGAAGAAGAAGGGTTTGCCGTTCCGTTACCTATTGCGGTCAAACTGTCACAGAGAATGCAGGGCAGGAATTCAACTCATTCTGCCCCTCTCCAAGGAAATCCATGCGGTGACCACACTGGGTTTCCCAAACCTTTGCGATTTTTCAGCCCTTCTCACAAATTGGAAAGCCTGGCCACCAAACCGGACAGAAGTTTTAAACGTGTAACAAATTCAGGTAATATGCCAAGTAAAGACAGCTGTTTTATCAGAACTTCCCAGCAATTCCTTTTAAGAGGCAAGATGAGATCTAACAGATCTATTTTTGAGGCTGGTTGCTTTGTCCTTCCCCAGTAACTTTTGAACTTCAAGTCAATGGGAACTGAATTTCACAGAGGTCTAAAGGGTCTCGAAGATGCTGCAAGTTTTATGAGAAATGTGTAACG